CAAAGCTAAACATGACTTTTATGCGAGACAAATTTCCACAGAAAGTAGCGGTAGAAAAAGAATTTTTGGATATTCATTCTATTTTTCAGCTGACTACGATGAAGCATTCTACTTTGCATTCTCCGAAATGAAGCAAAGAAGCGAAATAAAAAGAAATATTGTAGCACATTCTACTTTGCTTTCCCTGAAATGAAGCAAAGAAGCGAAACAAATAAAATATTGTATGACATTCTACTTTGCATTCCCTGAAATGGAGCAAAGAAGCGAAACAAATAAAATATTGTAGAATATTCTACTTTTCATTCCCGGAAATTAAGCAAATAAACGAATTAAAAAAGAAATATTATAGGACATTCTACTTTGCATTCCCCGAAATGAAACAAAGAAGCGAAATAAATAAAATATTGTAGGACATTCTACTTTACATTACTGGCAATGCCTAAAAGAAGCAGAAAAATTCGAAGGCATTATAACGCTATGCCTTCTAGAACACGTTACCACTAAAAGCGATTACCGATTTTTTGCTGGGTCGATACCGATATTTTCTACTCGATAGTTTTAAGACGATATTTTTTGGAATCGAGCACCAGAACCCTAGTATCGTATCGAACGCCATATCGCATTATGAGGATAATGTGATTAACAGCCCTATTCGCGTGCAATGACAAAAGTTGCCGCTATAACTATTGTCATGCTTATAATCAATTTTCACGTTTAGGTATGCAGAAGGCAATTTGAAAGCTCTACCGGTGACAATTGTTATTATTTCTGTGATGACCTATTGAGTACGTGACAACGCTAAAACATATGTTAATATTTTAAATTTTACCAATTTTGCAGAAAAAAGATACAAAGTTGTATTAAATAAAAACTGTTAAACCAATTTATTTACCTAAGTAGGTGTGATAAAAAGATACCATTTGCATTTGCATATCATAATAGGATCCACCGTAGAATATTAATCATGGAGGAAATAATTTTTATGCGCGCGTCTATTGATGTGGAGCAAGAAGAAATTATTCAGAGAAGAAGAGGGGACTCCGGGACAACAGTTTTTTTGAACAGTTTTTACCCATTTGCAGTTCGGGGTGGTCGTTACAAAACTGCATCTACTCTTGTGAGGTGCGTTTATATTTTTCACGCCTGTTAATTCACGATTTCATAATAAAATGAATAAATTTACCTATTATAAAATTACTCACTTTTTCGGCATTTCGAAAACCATTACGGTGTATTTTATTTAAAATAAATCCAGTCTGTTGCAGTGGCGGTCAAAACGAACAATTAAAATGTAATCAAAGAACAGCTGTTTCACTACAGAAAAACTTTCGCCGCAATTGGCAAATAAAACGAGCTTTTCGCTTGTCATTATTGACTGTGCATACCTATGACTACAGTTAATGACACGATCATAACAATTGAACTATGACAATTGATGGCTGCGACAACACGCGAATAGGGCTCTAACAATTCTTCCCGATATAAATTGAAATTTAAAGTGCAGAAATTTGTACCACAGTTAAGGTGCGGTTAAACGTGGCAATGCAAGCGTTTTTCTACGCATGTTGTTGTCAAAATTCGAAATCGGAAGCCTACTTTCCCGTGTAAACAGCCAGAAAGTCCTTTTTGCAGATTTGCAGAAATCACTTTCCGAAATAACAATTGAAAAGTGTAACTGCAACTGAAATTACGCAAATCGCTTTCGAGAAATAATTTAACTTTGCTCGTGCTGCACTAGCAATTTTCATTATTGCTGCAATTTCTGTCAAACGAATCGAGTGTTTTAAGTCAGCACATCAACCTTTACGTGTAATAATAATAATAATAGATTGGTCATTACCCAATATCACGGTCATGGTCAAATCCGTCCCTGATGAATACAAAATATGTCCTCTTAATTACAAGGTTCATAGAGCCTCATAATACCAAAAGTAAAGAATAAATATTCAAAAGTTGTTTTGGGAAGCTATTAGGGCTACCTCAAATTTGTGCAATATATTGTACAAAAGTCCGCAAAGGAGTAAACGCACTCAAGAAAACTCAATAAATATTTAACTAAATTTGACGGAATAAAACTTTTATTTTATTGAAATATAACTTATTTATGTACAAAATAATTGATTTTACTGCAAATATGTTGGAATGAATATTTTATAACTTTTTAAGTATCTTTGGTTAAGATTTGCATTAAAAAATTTCAAATTTTCTCCATGAGAAGAGAATTATATAAAGAAATACATATAAAAAATCTTTGCGGATTTTCATTTGACCACTCATTATTTCGTATTTATCCATCGATTTTCTTCATCAGTAACTTGATTTTTTTTTTGTAACAAAACAGGCTTTAGTACAAATTCAAAAATTTGGCACAGAACTTGTTAATTTTTAAATTTTTCTTCTGTTATAGTTTGATTTTTTTCATGTATTCATAAAAAAATAAAAAAGCTGGAATGATTAATT